AGATTCCTTAACAAAGATTTTTTTCAGGGAGAGACAAAGGAGGCCTCCCACCACTTCTTTATGGTTTGAACCTTCTAAACCAAGCACCAAAATTATTTTTAAAAAGGAACGGAGGTTATAATGAAAGCTGATGTGTACTGCAGACAAGAAAGAAGAACCAACACTACTGACAGTCCTAGTGTACCTTCGCTTCAATGAGTAGTAAACACTCCCTATTTGGAAATTATTCCACTTTACGTATTAAAATTTCTTCTTTTTGAGTCAAAAGTATTGTCTTAAATAAAAACAAACAAATGGAACCTAATTAAACTTCAAAGCTTTTACACAGCAAAGGAAACCATAAACAAAAGAAAAAGACAATCTACAGAATGGGAGAAAATACTTGCCCAATGATGCAACTGACAAGGGATCAACCTCCAAAATATACAAACAGCTCACACAGCTCAAAAAAAAAACAAAAAAACAAAACAAAAAAAACCCAAACAACGCAATCAAAAAATGGGCATAAGATCTAAAATGACATTTTCTCCAAAGAAGACATACAGATGGCCAAAAGGCACATGAAAAGACACTCAACATCGCTAATTATTACAGGAAAGAAAATCAGAACTACAATAAGGTATCACCTCACACCAGCTAGAATAGCCACCATCAAAAAGTCTACAAATAATAAATTCTGGAGAGGGTGTAGAGAAAAAGCAACCCTCCTGCACTGTTGGTAGGAATGTAAATATGTACAGCCACTATGGAGAACAGTATGGAGGTTCCTTAAAAACTATGGAAACAACCTAAATGTCCATCAACAGAAGACTGGATAAAGATGTCACATACACAAATATTACTCAGGCATAAAAAAGAATGAAACAGTGCCATTTGCAGCAACATGAATGGACCTAGGGATTATCATACTAAGTAAAGCAGACAAAGATGAATATCATATGATATTGTTTATATGTGTAATCTTTAAAAATGATACAAATGAACTTATTTACAAAACAGAAATACAGTCACAGAAAAAACCTTATGGTTACCAAAGGGGAAAGGGGATTGGGGGAGGGATAAATTAGGAGTTTGGGATTAAAATATACACACTACTATATACAAAATAAACAACAAAGACCTACTGTATAGCACAGAGAACTACACTCAATATCTTAAAATGAAAAACTGTCTTGACTTACTTAAAAATGCAAAAGCAAAAATATTGGGAAAGTCATTAGGGTCTTAAATAGATGAATGAATCCCAAATAGGGAGTGGTGCTAGTCACTGAAGTACTTCAATAATAAGTAATTCATTAATTGAATAATTATATACTGAACACCTATATACCAAGCAGTAAGAATGCAATAAAGACATTCTCTGATCCCTGATACCATTAAGCTTATATTTGGGAGGATAAGATAAAGAGTGAGAAAAACAGTGACAGCTAAGTGGGATAAAGGTTATCCTGGGTGGGGATGGGGGTGACCAAAAAAACCACTTTTCTGACCTAAAGCAAAATGATAAAAATCAGAGCGATGTAGTTAACTTTGTATTACATAAATCTAAATTCATTAAAATGATTATGAAGGTTATATCTCCCTTGCTCTATTTTTATTAAAATATCTTTTAATTAAATGCTTTTTAACATGTCCTTACTCGGCTATTATCTGTCTTTTGCTCATTAAAATTTTACCCATTTGCGATCTGCTGGTACAGGACACACTAAGGGAACACAGAGCAAGAGACATCTAACTCAGTCCAGAACTGTCAGGTATTTTCCTGGCAAACTGCTTTAGATAATGCCCTAAATTGAAAATGCCATTCCACTAAACGAACATGTGAAAATTAATGTACGCTTATGGACAAGAACCTGAAAGCTGATAAAATATATGCTGGATTGGAAAAAATGTACAAAACTTATCTTGGGGGCTTCACTGGTGGCGCAGCCCCAGTCCGAGAAGATCCCACATGCCGCGGAGCAGCTAGGCCCGTGAGCCACGGCCTCTGAGCCTGCACGTGTCCCAACGGGAGAGGCCACAATACTGAGAGGCCCGCGAACCACCCCCCCAAAAAAAACAAAACAAACAAACAAAACTTATCTTGGCTTGCTGTTTGATAGGTTTGATAACCAAACCTATCATTCCTTTAAAATACATTAAGCATTGCCATTTTCATGAATGAGCTTGTCCAAAGGGGCCAACCTGATTTTTGCCCTCTTTTAGCATGTTAGCACTTATTACATATACGCCTAATTTAATGATATTTTTAAAAAATGATATCATTTTTAACATGTTTTATCTTCCTACCTGTAATACTCTGACGTAGGGAAAATATTTGTATAGTCTTAATACCTAATGGTACTAAAATGGACAAAGACTAGCTAAAGTGGAGACAACAGCTTAAAAGATATGACAATTATAAACAAAAGGAATGTACAATATTTTGGGGGTTATACTAATTTATTTCCAATATCGAACTTACTTAAAGATGAAGGAAAAATAACATTCAGAAATGTTAGTATACTTCGCAAGATACAAAATTTTAGGATTGTAGAAGCCTCCTAGGATTGACAAAGTTGGAAAGAATTATAAATATAGTAGTGAATAAATTTATTTCCCAATGCTTTATAAATGAGATCAATTACCTTAAAAACACAAATCATTAAATGCATCATGTAAAGTTGCTGCTGTATATCTAAAGTTAGAGTTCACTAACATTCTCTGGGAGCCATTTTACACGCTCTTCTAATATTGAGCCTCTGAAAGACACTAAAAATTACATCACACTTTCCCCTCCACGTAATGACTTCACTGACAGTGAAAACCATACATGTGGTGATAGGAACTTCACGTACTTTTAAAGAAGTTTACATCCCACTCAATCTTATCACTAGTGTTAAGGGGAAATGCAAGGGGAAAGGTGATTCTAATTGATGTTTTTTATAAGTACTGCTTGCAGAGAAATGAAGTATTTCACTAACACAGAATAGGAACACAGGAATAAAATAGAATTCTCTTGACTCAGGGAGAATAATCACCACCCTGCCTCTACCAGTTTTTGCCAAACAAGATGGTAAGACTTTCAAAATTAAAATTAAATATATACATATTCCAGGGCATATATTAAATATACATATGCCCTGGAATATGTACATATTTGATACTTACATAGAAATATATGGAAGCTTCTGACTTTATGATAAAAACCAAAACATGCCACTCCCATTCATGCAGAAAGCAAAAACTGTCAAGTCCTCAGGGAGAACTTTTAGCCTCTAATTTTTTCAGTAACAAATACAACCATGACTGATAAGCTAGTATAATTTTAAATCATTTACATTTAATTTTTTTTTTTTTTCCTTTTTTGGGGTACGTTGGCCTCTCACTGTTGTGGCCTCTCCCGTTGCGGAGTACAGGCTCCGGACGCGCAGGCTCAGCGGCCATGGCTCACGGGCCCAGCCGCTCCGCGGCATGTGGGATCTTCCCGGACCGGGGCACGAACCCGTGTCCCCTGCATCGGCAGGCGGATTCTTAACCACTACACCACCAGGGAAGCCCTACATTTAATTTTATACCTAGAAAATAATTTGGAAGGATCATCTAGCACAATCCTTATGTAATAAGAAGCAGAGGTCTATGTGTTTAGAAATTAAAGAGGGACTTTTTACAGTAAAATGGCACTGAAGTAAAATATTACACACTTTTTTGTTGGTATGGTAAGCCATACCCAAAGTTAAATTTGAGGCTCAAACCACAAGTATAAAACAACAGTAGTAAAGGAACCAGGACTGCACCTAAGGTCCCTAAATGTTGGTATGGTAAGCCATACCCAAAGTTAAATTTGAGGCTCAAACCACAAGTATAAAACAACAGTAGTAAAGGAACCAGGACTGCACCTAAGGTCCCTAAAAGCAGTGATGAAATACAAAGGATCTATTTGGGCCAGAGTCAAACTGTACTTACTAATTTCTGAGAAAGTCACAGAATGTGATCTAAAATGGTTTCAAACCAAAATAAAAACATTTAAAGAAACAGGAACCTCTTTGGGGGGGGGCACTATTTTCCTCCCACACTATCATTCTTAATTCACAGTTTATGGTGTATTACGGATACTGCCGTTAAAAATTGTCCCAGTGACCTCTGAAAGTGCTAGAAAGATGTCAAGATTTAAGTCAGACTGAGTAAATCCAGGTCGCTATTCCACCATAAAGATGACATGAGAAAGCAGGTAAAGACAAATCTTAAAGAGCAACAGTCAAAGAAAGGGGACATAATTTAATAGGAAAAAATGCCACCAAAAGTAGTATAACCCCATTTTAAAATCCAGACTTCTCTCTTTATTTTTCAGAGATTAAACAAGTAAGAAAGTAGATAATAAGGCAGTATGTGAAAACTGGAAGGAACTGCATTAAAGAATTCCAAGAGACTTACTTTGCCCCATGTTTCTTAAACCATGACTACTTTTACTGAGGTAGTGACAAAGGAAAAAGTAAAAATATTAATACCAGGCACCACCACATCTTCATTTTTTGACCTTTCCTTATTTTAGAAGCTAACCTCTTATAAGGTATGCCCAGAATGTCAAAAGCTAAAGTCTTGATTTTTAAAACTTGTTTTTTCCTTTGCTGTTATATTTATGTTATTCCTTGTATTACAGTACTCATTACTTGCTACTGTGTGATGAATTTAAAACAATACATAAGAGCGCATATTCAAATTTCATTCATTTCAAACATGGTCTAGATTATCTATAAGTTGATACAAATTTTTCACCACAATATTTACTGTAGAAAGTTTCACCAGTCTCGTTTCTGCTTTCCCCCAAAGATAACCTTATTCTTCCCCTGACCCCAAATATAAACAGAACCTGCCTTGCAACATGATGAAAGCAGTAATCCATTAGAGCATAATAAACTACTAAAGATTCAACACATTCCTCCTGTCCAATACTCAACTATAATAAAAATGCCAGGAATAATAAAATTCTGAATCTACAATTCTTTAGAACACTTTCCTACCTTCACATTGGTTCCTTGGAAGAATCTTCCACCTTGTTTTTATCACATTTTCCAAAATTTGTAGTCCATAATACTGAAAATTGGAGAATAGAAGCATGTGAATATATTGCTGTAAGACTGGCAATTTCCAGGATTCACAAATGGACAGACATTCACACATTTACATCTAATTTTCAAAAACATTATGCTACCAAGTTTAATTACATATATTAAACAAGGATCTATTTGCCCATATACTGAGTTTTCATGCATTTTCCTCACTTTATTGTTTACTACTCTATTTAACGTCCTGCTGTTTATACATGCTCACACCAGGAGGAAGAACCAAATAAAAAGCCCTTAGCAGCCAAATGGGCTTGGTCTGTAGAAGGAAAAGTAGCAGCCAGATACGAATTCACAGCATAAATGACTGCTTACAGGCTCACGTACTTTAACACGACCAGGCTCCTAAGAATTTAGCAGCTTGGATGCTCTCAAGCTTCCTACCATCTTCTAGGAGTTGTAAGCTCTTGGCCAAGTATTAAAGTATTGTCACAGATACTTTCTACAGAAAGTGTTTACAAACATCACTGGTGTGTTACTTAAGGAGCAGCAAGACAGCCCACAGGTTTAATTTTAAATTTTAACCCCACCCTTAGAGTTGCTATTTCTACTAATTTAAAGATAAACTTTTGTGCACAGTCAAAATAATACACAAATGAATGTTGCAATCTGTATCTACCTTTCAGGTATTCCTTCCAACTATAAAAATGATAACTAAAAATGTAAGAAAGTTAATAAATACAAATACCACTTTCAAGCCATTTTGTCCCTCCTGTTGATTACTCACTCTAAATAGTCAACAATATTTATAACAATTTACAAGGCTACAGGAGTTACTACCCAAAATCATTACCATGACCAATTAGTGTGGATAGACAGGAGGAAGAAAAGGGTCAAAACTGTTGTGGTATGCTTCAACTGGTTGAATTAGGGAAGAATCAGCTATAATACCTGAAAGGTAAACTCATTCATATATAGACATATAACCTCAGATTGCAAGTTTTGGCTGAGAATAAGAGTTCATCTTTAAAATGGTTAGTCATCACACAATAAAATAGGAGCATTAGTATTTCAACCAAAGGGATCATGTGAATGCACACTTTATCCAAAGCACAATATAGACTGTCCCAAACTACATTGTGCTCAAACAGTGTTTTTGCTGTTTTCTTTCATTTTTAACATTTCATACTTTTTAGGAAAAATTTGCCATTTCAACCCAAATCCTACATTTGCAGAACATTCCTTAAAAAGACCTCAAAAATAAAAACAAGGCCAAAGCAAAATTCTGAAATTACAAATTATAAATTTGATGCCATGCCAAAAAAGTTTCATAATCAGCAGTAAATGGTGAAGCTTTCTTTCCTGTTCATTTACCTCTCTTTATAGATCTAAGTTTCAGACAAATGTAAATAAACAAAAAAGGTAAGTTTCTCATTGACTAAAATTCTAAATTAACTTTTAAAAACATACTACCCTAAACTTGCTTTAAATTAATTCTAAAGGCATGAAATCAGAGTGTCAAAAGTTTTACTAAGTCAAAACAAATGCACTTCTTACTACATGGAATATGTACCCTCTTGCTAATTCTCAACCAATTACAAAGATCTTTAAGAAACTAAGACACAAAACCTGCCATAAATACACCAGTTAAGAAGTACTAATCTTAATGATAACTTAACCATATTTAGCCAATGTATTTTCAGCCTACCCTTTTTAATTGAAGGATATCCCCCCCTTCATTGTTGCATTTATTTACTTTTCTGCCTTTATATCTGATACTGTTACCTGAATTACCTATTTACTAACCTCTAGTCCTTTCTCCAACTGTAAAAAAGTAGCACAAGCTTGCTGAAGATACAATTCATCTTTTCATCGTTCTGCAAACAGGTCTGAGGCAGGAAGCCCAATAAAAGCTTTTCACTAATTAGTTCAAAGGAATACATAGATCACCAACATAGTACCCTAAAACCCAATCTCTCCTAGACATTAAGACTCTATACATGATGAGAATTCACATTTCTTTGAAAAGGAGTATTTTGATTAAAAAATCTGAAGTGATAGCCAAATCTGAGGGCCAATGATAAATAACTACTTTGGAAATATACATAAATAATCCAAATATCATTGTGAAGTATTAAGTTTCTGCTTTACACCTCAGGACTTGAGAAATCCACTGCTGAGTTATGAAGATGAGGGACAGAGAACAGCAAAGACTAAATGAAAAAAATAAATGCATGAAATGATCCCTATGGTAGAAATTTCTACTGAGCCCTTAGAAATACTTATTTTACGCATTGAATTCCCCTTTCCCCTCCCACCGCCCATGAAACAAAAACAATTGATGAACAGAATTCAGTTAAAGGGAATCAAAAGGGTAGACCTTGTGGAGGCCTGCCGTCAAAGCCTAGCTGTGTCAGTTGCACAGGAAGACACCCCTTTTCTTCCTATTACAAGCAATCAACATAATGGAACATTATGATTAATATCAGGTAGTGTTAACATCTTTAAAGAAAAAAAAATGATTGCATAAAAGCCAAATGTCATAGTGCATAAATTTAGCACCAAATCATTTGTAATTTATGTAAATGGAAGAATTCTTTACCTGTTGCTTTCTTTCTGTTCCTCTAATCATCTCATTTTTCACAAGACAAATTTGAGTTTTTAAAAATACTGTTGATAAATCAACTTAAACATTAGTAATGTCTGTCAGTATAAAAAGCAAAATTTACCAGGCAAGCAAACAGGCAAACACTGTTATGTTACTTAAGGTTAGCACTTTGAGGAAGTTCTGGACTGTATTTTTGCCCTAAAATTTATAAGATGTCAAAACTAGTTAATATTTTAAAACTGTTAATTAACACAGTCTGATTTCAGAAACAGAGGTGAACATGGCTACTTTCTGTTTTAACACAATGTATACCAAGTGGAAACCTTGTGTGTATTTAAACAGAATGCCATGCATGGTATTTTACTACTTTAAGGCAGTTTAAAGAGAAGTGTGAATCATCAAGCCTAAACAGTCAAAACACATTTTGATCAACCCTTCTGTTCAAACTTAAGAAAAAAGGACCCAAATGATAACATTTTCAATTGCAAATAAAAACTGAGTGCTGTCCCATTAAAAGCATTGGTACCATGGAGTAGGGTTTTACGCTGCCCACACAACTTGGTTTTGGAGGTGCCTAGCCTGTGTTATATTGATTACTTGCCCAAAATAATTCCTCTGATGTTATGTTTCATCTCTGAATAACATTCAGAATTTATGCTGAGATCTGTACACATATTCTAAAAAGAAAAAAGAAAAACAAAAAAAAAACAAACCAAAAAAAACCCCCAAACAACAACAAAAAAAAGCCACCTTGCATACTAGTCCCAATTTCAAAACTTCATTTATAATTCTTAGGACTATTTGCAAGAATTCATTCTATGTTTAAGACTAAATTTTGAAATAAGTTAACATTATTAAATGATGTGAGATAACAAATGCTAATACTAAAAATGAGATACCTTCCTCAAAGTTTATGACTGGAAGAAAAGAAGAAATAATGGATTTTAAAAACCACCACTTGCTTACTTTCGTGTTCATATTCTGTGAAAATTCCAAAATTGTGTCGACTCTTGTCCATGCATCAGGATGCTCCTTTAAATGTGTCAGTACTTCTTGAGCCATTCTTTGCTAAAATAGTATACGAAAAGAATTTTAAGCTAACTTGTTCTTTCGAATGGTATTGAGCAAGGCACAAATCCTAATAGGACAGTGATTTTATCAACTTTCAGAAATACTCAAGAAACTAGTCCTTATAGAAATAAAAATGTGTCCATTATCAACTTCAATTAAGAATGGGTACAGGGCTTCCCTGGTGGCACAGTGGTTAAGAATCCGCCTGCCAATGCAGGGGACACAGGTTCGAGCCCTGGTCGGGGACGGGGGAGATCCCACATGCCGCGGAGCAGCTAAGGCCGTGCGCCACAACTACTGAGCCTGCGCACCACAACTACTGAAGCCCATGTGCCTAGAGCCCGTGCTCCACAACAAGAGAAGCCACTGCAATGAGAAGCACATACACCGCAACTAGATAAAGCCCACGCGCAGCAACGAAGACCCAACGCAGCCAAAAATAAATTAACGAATTTAAAAAATTAATTTAAAAAAAGAATGGGTATATTCTTTTTAAACAGAAAAGTGTTTTTCCCCCCAATCTGCTTTATTTGGTATTCTCAAAACTGAACTTAAATTCAATCAATTATCTACTCCAACATGAAGAGGTTCTCAGCACACAATCAACCAAAAGCAACAAATAAAAATTCACATCTACTTAGTTAAGTTATGTAATGGTATACTCTGGTTTATAAGAGTCACCAAGATATCTTTAACAAACTTTATCTGCAAAATTATATTTCAGGGGAGACAGATAAAAGCTAGGTCTAAGTAAGTCTACAACTCTCTAATACCTGTTGATACACATAAAACATTAAGACCCTTTTAAAGCAGTATTTTCAGTTTATTGTAAACACACCTTTGTCTCTGAAAATCCTTTAATTTCACATATTAAATCCTAGCTTATTTTAAAATTTTTCTTTTTTTTGCTTTTGTATTCCTAAAATGCAAACCCAGAATATTTAAACCTATGAAACCATCATCTAGAATTAACAAATGTTAAGATTTTGCTGCACTTGTCTGCTTTTCTTTTAAACGTAAGATCTAAAACTTATGGAACTTTGTACCTTTCTTCAGCGCCATTTCCTTCCTTTGTTCCTTCTTTAGAGATAATCACTTTCATGACTTTGGTGTCTTTTCCTGTCTGTATTTTCACAGCATGTGTATGAATTTCATAAATATAATTGTGTGGTTACTAAATTTTATATAAATAGTATATTGTAGAAATCCTTCTGCAGTTCGCTCTTTCCATTTGACAGTTTCTTTCCCTCGGCTTCACTGAGATATGATTGACAACTGAGAGTTTTAAAGATCTAGCCATGTTGACATTATCCAGTTTCTTCATTTTTAACTGTTAGTTTTTCATACGATATGAACACTACATTTTATCAAAGGCTGATAAGTCTATTAATTTTTTTCAGGAAGCAACCGCTTAATCTTTTTCACCTTTATAGGCTGTTTTGTAGCTTAACTGGATCCTCCCTAATCAACTTTTACCTATTTCTATCACATGTTGTAACCAAAGAGTAAACTTTTATGGTTTTAAAATTTGGCAATTATCCTTCTGTTACATCATTTACTTGATCAAGGGTTTGATTCTATGGGTTATAAACAAGGAAGCATCAAAAGGAGGGTAGAAAAGCATTCTTATTTAAACGAACTCTGACACCGACACCTCATAATCTTTAAGTTGGCTTTTATTCCAATTTACAAAAAAAAATCATTTTTCTCTTGTGGCTTTTTTTTTTTTTTTTGGGCGGTACGCGGGCCTCTCACTGTTGTGGCCTCTCCCATTGTGGAGCACAGGCTCCGGACGCGCAGCCTCAGCGGCCATGGCTCACGGGCCTAGCCGCTCTGCGGCATGTGGGATCTTCCCAGACCGGGGCACGAACCCGCATCCCCTGCATTGGCAGGCGGACTCAACCACTGCGCCACCACGGAAGCCCCTCTTTTGGCTTTTATACACTGCTTATTGTTTAAAACGTTGACAAATACACACCCACTAAATTAGGTAATGGTTCTGTATCCTGACAATAAGACCAGAAATACTTTGGAACTTGAAAGAAAAATAAGGTGCCTGGGTTCCACCCTAGGGTCTGGGATTAGAGCAAGTGTGTGAAGTCTTGAAATACAACTATACATTTTTTATTTGATTTCTTTAAAGGGTTGTAATTGTATCATATAATAAGCAACCGACAAAAGGTACACAGAATGGTGATATGAATTATTTATGGCCAAAGCCCATTTTAGCAGTGTTTTGATTCTCTTCCTGAGAATATCTAACTAGATAGACTTGCATATAAAACAGTAACAAATATTAAGAGGATAAGGTATATCAAATATCCATGCCTAGTAAAAGTTATTTGGTCAAGATAAAACTTTATCAGATTTTTTGAAGTGATGAGCATTCTACACATAAATGAATAGTTCCCACACTATCACCATTCATTTCAGTCTCCCCATAAATCACGTTCCTTCCTTTTCAGTCATCCTTTTTGTTGTAATTTTACTCTCTAAAGTTATTGCTAGTATTTGCGTCCTTTTTTTAATTTGTCTTAATCCCACTGTCCTTACATAATATATCCTTTTCTTTTTTTAAAAAATATATTCCTTTATTAACTTAAAACCCCAGGAGGGGTTAAAAAAGGCACAAAGGGAAACCGAAGAGAGAGAAAATCTGGCATCTCCCTGTGTTACTAACTGAATGGTGAAAGTATTTTAGTTGCTTAGCAATAGATAAAAGAGTTCAAGACACTTAACACAGTACTGGAGAAAACACCCAACTCCAACATTTTTGTTTCCCTGGTGTCCTACTTGGCTAAAAATAGAAAAGTGTTTATAACAGAAGGTAGTCCTAATATTACAGTGCTAATTATTCTACTATACTACCCATCTAGGCAAAAGTTCTATCTACAGATTAAAGGCCACACTTCTAATAATTCCTTCCTCTCCAAAGTTACGAAATCCTTTTCAAAACAGGCTACATACAGGTGAGTTTAAAGCTTAATTAGCATAATTTCTACTTGCTATTTTAAGTACATATTTTATGACAGACCAAAACCAAACAAAAACTCCCCACCAAACCATATTTTAAAACAATGAGTTTTGGGCTTCCCTGGTGGCGCAGTGGTTGAGCGTCCGCCTGCCGATGCAGGGGACACAGGTTCGTGCCCCGGTCCGGGAGGATCCCACATGCTGCGGTGCGGCTGGGCCCATGAGCCATGTGAGCTGAGCCTGCACGTCCGGAGCCTGTGCTCCGCAACGGGGGAGGCCACAACAGTGAGAGGCCCGCGTACCACAAAAAAACAAAACAAAACAAAACAACAACAAAAAACCCAAAACAATGAGTTTACATCACGTATGTGAAATCTTCTTCATTATACTTTCAAAGTCCCCTTTAAACAGAATGGCTCCTAAATAGCAGTCACCGCTAACAGATGCTTTACAAAACCTCATCACTAATCCTCCAGTCTCTTGCAAGGTAGGTAACTTTGTAGATGAGACTCTAGAGGAATGACTAGAAAACTTACTGGAATAAATTTAAGACATTTAACACTAAAAACATGTTTTCTGGGCTTCCCTGGTGGCGCAGTGGTTGAGAGTCCGCCTGACGATGCAGGGGACACGGGTTCATGCCCTGGTCCGGGAAGATGCGGCTGGGCCCGTGAGCCATGGCCACTGAGCCTGCACATCCGGAGCACAGGCTCCGCAACGGGAGAGGCCACAACAGTGAGAGGCCCGCGTACCGCAAAAGAAAAAAACAAAATATGTTTTCCACTGCAACCTTCAACTTTTTATTCAAAATAAAACCCCCAAGAAGTGGTATATAAAAAATTGAACAAGGAAGTTTAAAGATTATCACTTTCAGAAAAGGGGTTCTTAACTGCCTTTAAGCTCTAAGCCTGTTCCCTTATCTATAACAAATACCAACTTACTGATTATTCTTTATGCAATTGACTTGTCCCATGAGAAATCTAACCAGACATAAAATTCTTACTTTTGGTAAAGTTAATTTTGTCTTCATAAATGGAAATATCTGTAAACACTTTTCTAAATCTAGTCTTTATTCAAAAGTCAAATTTAAAACAAATCATTAAATCTTGACACTGTGAAACATTACTAAAGCAGTATTACAACATAGTCTTCATAATTACTTCTGTTATAAGCCTAGAACACTGGTCTATTTAGTCATCATACTTCTAGATGCTGTGAACCAGGTTAAAAAAGAACAAAGACTAAAGAGCAATGGCAGCTTAACGATGTGATAAAATTAAATGCCAATCTTCCTAATGGCTTATAGACTTATGCTTCTAATATAGTCAAAGTTGAGCCCAACCTTACTTCATGCATTTCAACCTTACTGTCATACTTTCTTCCAAAAGCAGCTGCTTTCCATACATCCAGGCTGGGAGGAAACAGAGCTTAAAGCTCCATGTTGAATGTATGGTATGTGTAGTAAATACGGATACTTTTTCAGGAATGCTTTTGGAGACAAGAACACTGATCGAAAGCGCCTAGGAGTATAAAACTGCACTAACAAGCTTACAAAATCACTGTAATTTTTTCCACTCATACAACTTTCATGGCCCTTTTTCCCTTTAAATTTTTTCTTTATTATAGTGAAACCAATGTTAGATTTCAGAAGGGAATAGAAATACTTAAGCACTTACTAATATTTATACATCATGTTTTTTGGACTATCTATAAAAGATACTACGATATCCACCTTTCAGAGGTTTCTATAAAGTATGAAAGTAGCCAGGGTTTAACTATGCAAGTATAAATTAATGGCTTGAAGATACATTATCTACCAGAAATGCACTTTTTGGCAACAAAATTTTACTAGTAAGATACCTGTCACGTCACCTTATAAGATTTTTTTAATCCAGGAACAGAAACTTTTACTCGTTTAAAACTTTATTAGGTCCGCAGGGTGCCGACTGAAGATTGTCCAGTTTCTTGTACCATAAAAAAATTTTAAATTTACAAACATTCCTGTTTTTTTAAAAAAAACCCAAACCTTAAACTGATCAAAACATAGATTAAGTGTAAGATAATTTCCTATTTTAACAGTTATCACTTTTACAAGTGCTAAAATTCAAACAATGTAAAGATACCTGGTATTGTGGGATATTTAAAACAAGTTTTATCTGTGAAGTACTTCTGCAATTTAAATGTTTCAAAAACAGAAGACTCATATTAACTCCAAATACATTAAATATATAAGGGACATACAACCTTTAATATCTACAAAACATTTAATACATTGGGCTGTATCTTTTATTAAATGGGGTAAAGGTTGCTGAAGAACAGAACAAGTATAATAAAAATATTCCAAAACATCCCACTCTAAACCATTTCAAAATGTAATGCAATTTCTTTCTCCAGACCACCTCTCAGAATTAAAATATAATTCCAATTTAATACAAACTATGGGATATTTTTTAAAAGGTGGTAATTTAAAATTTTATTCTAAACTCAACAACTTTATTACTCTGCAATAATGTTTTGATCAGCTACTTTACCTGGGCTCCTTCTCCGTGGTATAAGCAATTCACCACGTTGTCTAAAAGGTTGATATCCAGTTTTTGGCTGAAATCAAGCAGCTGGCGAGCTGCATGGTCTGCTAACATTGTCATAATTGCTGGCATAGATTACTGAAAATAAAGAGAAAGAATTTAAGGCGCCTGTGAAGTTTTGATATTGTCAAAAAGTTTCTACTCAAGTTATTTTACTTCAACCATGTTCTTACAAATATTTTACGTTGTATTTCAGAGATTTTACCTAAACAACTGAGACAGTAAAAGCAAATAAACGCTGAAGTTACTTAGGTACTCCACAAATGCATTAATCATTAGGGTCCACTTTATTTTTACACCCCAGAAAAATCATACTGTTCTTTCTACTAACATGTATATAAAGTTACCCCAACCCGTTTTAAAAATGATTATTAAAGAATTTATGGCCCTAAAACCTGATACAATTTAAAATCTTGATCTCGAAAATTTTAAATACAGATGAAATTCAAATGGATCCCCGCACCCCGCCCCAAGTAGGATCTTCTAGTTCAGTAAAAGCTCACTTTCCCTCATTTCATGTTACCTTAATTTTTAAGATATATTGAAGACGCTAAAAATTAAATGTGGTATAAAAGTTTTCCTATATAGAGCAATGATTAGCTAACAAGTCTAACAAATCTGGTATCCTTAACCTCTGTAGAATTTAAGCTTTTGCACTCAATTAACCATTTATATTTGTTTCTTTCATCCCTGAATGAATCTGGAGATTTAAATTACAAGCGTACAAGCTCCTTGAATATATGGCCTAGAAAAAAAAACTATGGTAATATGTCAGACAAGATTTTTTTTAATTTCCAGGTAGTGACTGGCAAAACAAAAAGCTGTAAAATCTTGCTATTTTCTAAATAAGACCAAATTCTACCATAACAGAAAAATGAGCTTCTTCACCTCAAGTAATGTACTGGCTAAAACCTACTGGTTCAAATGCAATGGTACCCCTTTAAGAGGATTCTACTCCCAAGATGCTGGCACACATGCACATTCTTGTTGCCCAGCCTTATAAAAATCTTTCCTTTTGCTTTTTCTTCAAAGCCAGTGCCACTTAAGTCTGACTGGCTAAATCAGCACTCCTCAAACTTTTTTGGGTTAAGATGCCTCAGAATCAGAGGAACAGGACAGCTGTTGCCAAATTTTAAAAATTCACAACTTTGTATACAATTACAGACGATTCAGGACACCATGAAAGCCATGCATGAAACCTTGAGTTAAGTACCCCTGGTTTACTGTACTTAGACCCAACAAGGTCAGATGGTCATCTCTACTTCTCCCTCTCTTAACCTTCCAAGATCTGGAAATGCGTGGCTAACTTGATTACATTATGTTTGGACAAAGCAGCTTGTTAGGAAAAAGGCGCTATTTCTTGTCTATTTTATAACAGGTAAAAAACGTTAACAATGGCAGCAATTTCAATTTCAAGTCAAATGTTTTATTTAACGATAATATCAGTTACAACAAAGTAAAAGTCTGAAGGATCAGTTAGGTTAGATATAATGTAAAAACTGAGAAATTATGAGTTCGAGGAATTTTATTCCTCTTAAGTCTTTCCATCCACTGTTGACAGTAAAAACCGGTGAGATTTCAAAAATTTCTACAGTTATTAAATGTATTTTTAATGCAAAATACCTGACATACACAATCTTTGATCTAAATACTAATAGGAAAAAGAAAATATATACTTCACAAATGGAAATGTAAATTTACCCCATTCAAGTGCCATACAATTTCAAAGGATCAGACAATCTTAAAAATTGAGGCTGAAAAGCAATGTCCACAAAACCAAGATCTATATATCAAATGTTTTCGATTGGGGGGGTTTAAAAATTGAACGAACTTTTATCCTATTTTGTCCTATCATAATTTAATAGCCAAAACGAGAAAGAATAAAGTGACTCTAAAAAGTTTCGTTTTCCAGCATTGTCCTTACAAAAATGAGACAAATTCCTGTGAAAAAAAAATCAGGTTTAGAATAGAAGCTTGTGTTAAATACAGCAGGGTATGCCACCCTTAAAACTAGCGGCTATCTTCGAAATGACCTACCTATTCTCGAACCGTACGTAGTACAGAAATGGCGGCTTTCTAGTCAATGCCAACCACATTTAGTCTCCCAAATCAAACAGCTTCCAAAACATTCTTTCCACTAACAGCAGTGTCCCACGCGCTTAAGATACACAATCAGGCAGACAGCAAACAGCCATAGCGGGAGAGGTGAAAGAAACCACAAAAGCTTTTCCTTCTCCTTGGGACACTCAATCCTAAATTCCACTCACTGTATAGCAAATATAAGGTATTATCCAGCCACGTGGTGACTCTACAAGTGACTACCAAAATACCTTCACTGCCACTTCAAACTGAATAGGCAGGCAACTACACACTGCCAGCTCCCATCCAAAAACCAGAAAATCATAACCGTTAATGATAACTACATAGTAGGTCAAAAAACAAGTCGCTGCAAGGAGAAAGACTGCTACTTTAGATTGTGTGGGCAATTGCCTGCTTCATTCAGTAGAAACACACCTCACTAAGGCCCGCCCTCCCCTCTCTTCCCACCCGAACCGATGTGCAGCACTTCTAACTATAGCATACTGGAGCACGCACTCACCCCGCCCATACTCGGAGAAGGCATTTAGACCAGGCGCCTGAAGTTCACCGCCCCATTCTCTATGCAGCATGGCCTCTGCGTGGTCAGAGGAGGTCCGGACTGGGCAAATCTCTCCTGCTTCCCCCAGTACACCACTTCCTCCCTCCCACCCCAAACTCAGACACGGGAATGAAAGAGAATCAGGGTATTATCCACTGTACAATGCCAGCAGTAAATGAGTCGATCACTTTACACACCCAAGTCCCCCCAAACAAGCTACAGCACAGAACCTCATCTGCGCTTCCCTGAAAAATCAACTAACCTTTCCTACTTCTAATTCTACTCCGTAAAAAAAACCAGAGATTCTGAGTTTCCCTGCAGGAGGAGCAAGGACTTAAGAGCCCCTCCCTCCCGCGATCCCAAGCTCTCCACCGAAGGGCCACGTGATGCAGGCGGACGTTTCATTGCTGCTGCACTAAATATTTCTGGAAACTTCCACTCCTAATAATTTACAGAAATGTTCCTGAAATCACCCCAACTTCTCTCCAGCCCAAGGGGCTGGGGAAGCCCTTCCACCCCCGCGCCAGGCCCCACTTCACTACCACGCTCCTTGCCTTCCTCCACCGCTACCCGCACACGCGAATGACCCAGCAAGCGCTCCTCTCCCGCGGCAGCCTCCCCGCCTCCATCCCCCAGCGGCAGAAGCGGCTCCATTCAATCGCAGGCTCTGCTGTGGGCCCGCCGCCGCCTCCCCGGTTCGCCTCCCGCGGCCGCCGCCGCGCCCCACGCCAGCCTTCTCCCGCCCTGCCGCCCGACCCTCGACCCCGAAGACCCAGTCGACTTACCCAGATATTGAACCAACTGCTTCTTCCTTCCTTGTCGGGGGATTAGGGCGAGGGAGGATGGGGGGGGGGGAGAGGGGAGGAAATCAAGGTGGGTTTCACAGTTTTCCCACCTTAAAAAAGGAAATTAAAAAAACGAAGAGGATAAGGGCAAAAAAAGCTCAACAATATTTACTATTTCAGGGACACCTCCCCCCGATACACACACCCGCCACCCCCCCCCAAAAAAAGAAGGGGAATTAATCTGTGGAATAAATGCTCCCGCCTGGCTACGGAGTGAGGGAAGGGGGAGGGGAACGGGGTCAAGTCCCAAAGATTCTGCCCCAGGGAGACCCTCCAGCTACAGGCGGCAGCAGGAGCGGCAGGAGTAGGGGCTGTAGAGTCCACACGGCCGGGGGACGCTCTGCTGCCAGTTGCAGTCCGACTCCCCCCTACCAAAATACGGCTCCCTCACGCGGCTCCGGCGCTGGGCCCCCCCCACCCGGGCTCGCCTAAACTTTCCCCCCTTCTCCTGCTCCTCAGCGACTGGTGGTTCCCCCCTCCCCCTCTGGGTGGTTGCACGGACTGCAGCAGCAAAGACTGGAACAGGCACCGCCGCCGGGGCTGTAGCTACTGTTGCTCTTGCTGATGCTGTAGCTCCCGCTGCTCCTGCCGCGGCCGCTGCAGCCGCTTCTCCCCCTCCTCCTAGTGCCTCAAACTCGGAACCGGTTGAAACCGGTTCAGACTGGGAGATTCCATCTCGGTTGAGTTTTCAGCCCATGGCGCCGCGGAGCGTTTGGAACCTGGGCCTCCGCCCCCAGCCCGCCCGCCCATTGGCCGGTTCCAGCCACAGCCGCGCCATCAACCTACCTCCTACTGGCCAGCTCGCCCGTCAATCCCACCTCAAGTCTCCACACAAGCCCGCCGCTTCGTCCCCCGCCTCTTTCCAGCAGCGATTTGCCCGCAGAGTGGGGGAGGGGAAGAGGGGCGGGTCGCAAAGGAGCTAGGAGGAGGGTGGAGGAGGAGGAGGTGGGACGAAGAGCTGAGCCCTGCAGAGAGGAGAGCGAAGAGAAGCCGCGCGGAGGATTGGTTCGAGCGAGCTGTCAATCAAACGTAGCCCGCCCTCGACTTCCCGCCCCCGCTTAGCCCGCAGGCCCGGCCTTTCCGGCTCGCTCATTGGCTGGGCGCCTTTGGTGACGGAGAGGGTGGGGTGCAGCTCCTGAGCTGGTGGTGGCGCGAGTTTGAGCGCGGCGCGCGGTAGCCTGCTTTCGCTCGGCTTCTCCCGGACCCGCGCTGGCCCGCCCCCGCCGGCTCCCGCCAACCTGCGGGGCCTGAGCCTGCCGGGATCCGGACCCGCCCCTCTGATGGGGGTGCGCTACTAAAAGGCAGGGCACAGCGAATTGTTTTTTTAATCGGGGAAGGGTGGGGTGGAAAAAGGAGCGAAAAGAACACAACGGAGGCCAACTAATTGTAGGCCCCGGACCTCTCTAATCCATTTTAAAGGCCTGGGTTTGGTGCCAAGATGTTGAGAGGTTGGGGTGAGGTGTGGGGTGCGCACTTTTGGCGCCTCGTGGTTTTCTCGGAGACATGGGAAAGATACTTAGTTCTTGGGCAAGTCTTCAAATTGTAACTCGGTTTCTCCCTAGGCTGGAATTTGGCTTCTTTAACAACCG